GAGCGTGAGCGTCCAGACTAGCGCGCTGAGCGGACAAACAGCTGATCAGCTGTTTGTCGGCTCAGCGCCGCAGCCATGTAAATGTAAATGAAGCCGCAATCATTTCAATCGCGGCTTCATTTGCCTTTGCCTATGTGTCTAATCTACATGCCTCTGACGACAGAGGCATGTAGTCTAGACACAGCCTAGGTGGAGACTGAGACAGTCACTCTGCGTGCCTCATAGGTGGATGGAGTTCCAGTGAAAGAATGCAATTCCCCCCGACTCACATGTGTCAGGGTGCAAATTAGTTGGCCAATACTCACCAGCACCAGTTTGAAGTGGTAGTGGTGGAACAATCGGAGATACCTCACAGGAATCTTGTAGCTTGCTAGGACCTCCTTGGTGACTTTGTCGGCCACAGTAAGGATCATATCTGGAAGGGAAAAAGCAGAAATACATATCAAGAAGTACAATACAAGACTTGGGGGAGGCTTTGAACTATTCCATGTTGCCGACCACAACTGATATTTGGAGACAAGAGGCCAGATTCACCCCAGGATCCGCAGTGGGGTGAAACCAAAGGAGGCACCAGAATGTCTGCCAGCTGCAGAATGGTTGTGGTGTTGCAAGCAGCTACAACTTCCTCTCTACCTAGAATGGTGAAGGGGGCTGGCCTTGTTCCAAAAGATGGAGGTCGGGAAGGAAACATTGTCACATTGGAAAATGGGTTTCATCAAAATACAAATTTTCTGGGGGGAAAAGGTCATTTTTGGTGGAATTTTCCACTGGGAAAATTTAAACACAGCAGCAATTTCAGGTCAGGTTGCCATTATTCTCTGTGTCAGCTTGCACCAGCACAGTGCCTCTTGGGTGGTGGTGTTCTGGGTCCCTCATGCCCCCATTCTCCCATGTACATTTCTTGTCTGCCAGGTTACATCACTCCTCATGCACTATGGTCTCTCCTAGGACTGAGCTGCTGTGATGCAGCATAAGAGTCACAGGATCCCCTGCCCCCTCCCTGCACTGTGGCTTGGAAATGTCTCTAAGCCAGGTTTGCAGTTCTGCTCAACGTGGAAGAGTCTGACAGAACTGTATTGTCACAGACAATACAAGCTTTGCCTTATAAACCACCCTACAGAATGTCAGAGAGAGTTAGGCCCTGCTACAGAATGCTAGAGACTGAGCTGGAAAACTTCTTGAGAAAGGGTCTCAGTCTTGATTCAATTCCATGGCTAGCTGCCTAGAGCTCACCGCAAAGTCACTCTAGATTCTCTCAGCTTTGTGCTGAATTCTATGGGCTCTTATGCCAGACAAGAATAGCCCAACCTGAGCCTCTCTCCTCCATCTCTCCTGCACCAATCCTATACCTGAGGCTGGGAATGAAGCTGTTCTTCACTGGCTGAAGGAGCTGTCGGGATGGTAGACTCTGCAAGGGCTTGTTATACTCCCTCTGTGTGGCTTCTTTATGCCACTTATGCCAGACCAGAGTCAGGCTGTGAAAGGCTTGCCACATGGGCTTTGGAGCTGTGTCGGCTAACGCAACGGTAATGTCTGGCATTGACGGAATGCAAACATGCATGGCCCATCCACTCTGGAAATCGCGCGGGCAGGGTGGGGAATTAACACGTGTTAAAATCCAACCAAAATGCCAGCATGGACACACTCTGTGATTAAAATAAATGCATCAGAGCAAGAGCCTGGCGTTGGCACTTTCAAAAGGTCATTTTTGGTGGAATTTTCCAATGGGCACTTTTTCTTCCCTGAGGACTAGTTCAGCACACGGGCATGTCACCAAAGGCATGGCCATGGGAAGTCCTCACCATTTAAAAGCACCTGAATCATAGAATCACAGAGCACTAGAGCTGGAAGGGACCTCAAGAGGTCATCGAGTCCAGTCCCTGCCCTCACGGCAGGACCCAGCACCATCTCACCATCCCTGGCAGGCATCTGGGCAGCCTGCTCTTAAATATCTCCAGAGATGGAGATTCCACAACCTCCCCAGGCAACCTCCTTGGGGCTGCTCTGCACTCCATTGTGGCGTGTGTGCAAGCAGGGAGTCATGCAGCGGGCTCTCTGCTAGTTAGAAGGGTCTTTGCACAGGCACCGAGCAGTCTGAGGCAAAGGTTGCTCCCGATGGCTGGCAGAAGAACAAGCCAGGAAGCAACACATCCAGTGTCTCCATTCCCACCTGGCACTAGTGCTTGAGAGCAGCTGCTGTGCTGACTCAAAGGACACAAAGCCTGTCCACAACGAGGTGGATTTCTCACCTTCAGTGCTGAAGCAGTAGCCCCTGAAATGAAGCCCTCTGTTTAGCCATAACATTGGTGCTGTTTGGGCAGCTACATGCTCCTCCCCCTCCCTCACCTTTCCAGTAGACCTCATCCCTGAATATCCTGTGACAGAGGGCACATTTCCCAGGCACATTCATTCCCTGGACCACTCCACTAGGATGCAATGGCCTGCTGGGTCCACCGGCTGCTGGCCAGCCCCTTGCCCCACCTGCCCATAGTGTTTGGGGAGACCCCCCCACAACAACACATCACCCCTGAACAGCAAGACAATGGAAATTATGCCTGGGAAAGCCGGACAGTACCAGTCCTGAATGGTTTGGACACAAGAAATCCTGCATCTTGTCTAGATGGCTCTTGTGATCCCTTCTGCACCTTCAGTTCCAGAATTCTCTGGTTATAACAGTTCTGCTCCACGGCCTTCCCTTGCACTAGTATCTTAACCCCAGATGTTCCCAAAGCGCTCTGCAGTAATGCAAAAAACCCTCCATCAGCCACTCAGCTCTTACTTGGTAAGGGAAACAGGCCCCATACTGCATAGTTGAGCAACAGTTTTACACATTGTCAGGAAGGGACTGGAATTTGCCCAGGTATCTGCAGGGCTAGCAGGCAGTGTAGGGTTGCAGAAAAGATTTAAATACCCTGAAATTGAGCCAGTATTCCAGAACCAATGGCTCAACTTTGAAATGGAACCTGGACATATTTTGGGGTGATCAGTGCTCAAGGCCAATTGTACGTCCCATGTGAAAGCCAGCTCTTCAGACAGCACAACGCTCCAGGGACACTGGGCAATGCTGACTCAGAGGGAAGAGAGTCACTAACACCACTTCTTGCAAGCAGCACCCAGACGGCATCCTCTCTGAGATCCTGGCCACGCCAGGCTGTGTTCACAGAGGACACCCTGCGAGCTTCCCGCTCAGAGTGGGGATGGCTGCAAGGGAACCAAAGTAAACCAAATCCCATCAGTTGCTAGGGAAGCATGAAGCTTGCTAATGGCTTAGATACAATACCTGCAGCCTGTACCCCCCTCACTGCCCTAATGCATAAGTCAGGCCAAGCCCCGCTGCATTGAGAGAGCTTGCTGACCTGATTAGACAGCTCTGAGGCAAGGGAGGCCCTTGCTTTATGTCTCCGTGAAAGGAACTTGCCTCCTTAGCTCCCAGCTTTGTCTTCCCCTGGCAGGGCTCCTTTATGCCTCCAGTCACTTGAAGGAGCGGAGGCCTGTTAGGCATGTTGGACCTGTCACGGGAAGAATGGAATCTTGCCTCCCCTATCATTAACATGGCCTTGCTTTCCACTCACCCATCACCACAGCAACAGCCTGCTGCCAGCTCCTCCCACACTCCCTCTTCACCTTCCTCCACAATCCACAGCTTTAACCCCTTCCGTGGTCCCAGATTAACCCGCTGGTATCCCAGTGACGTCTGCCGCCCCCCGGAAAACCAGGAGAAAACACCAATCCCAGGGGCAGCGCACGGGGACGGGGAGTGGAAGGGTCACATGCCCGACCCCAAATGCTATAGGAGGGGAGGGGTAAGGGAACAGCAGCTGATGGGGCCAGAAACTCTCCCTTTCCAGCTACACTGCCTGGCTACTGCATGCTCCTTGGCAGCCTCTGGCCATGCTGCTTGGCATGAACAGAACCATTGCCTCCCCAGGTAATGGGACAGAGAGAGGAAGAAAGGGGAGGGGATGGTGCAGCTACACTCTGCTGAGTCCCAGGCAGCTTCTGGCCACATTGCCTGGGGCGCTTCCCAGTTTCCTCCAGCACAGGGAAGGGAAGGAGCAGGGCCGCTACAGCCTGGGGCGCTGCTTGCCTGGTGCAGCACAGTGGGACAGAACCCGCCTCCACCACCGCTCCCGGTAAGGTGTGATGAGGAAGGGATGGACAAAGAGACCATGTGGGCCCTGGACTAGGGGTGGCACAAGGAGGTCACATGGCCCTCTATGGCTGGTGCCCCCTTTTGTTTTCCTCCCCAGTAGTTATCTCTGTCCAAACCATACTCCCTTGTCAAAGGCAAATCAATGAAAAGCCCACTGCATCTTGTTATATTGCTATTTACACTTAGCTCTGGCTATCACCAGCCTAATTACTGATTGTACTGATGGACAATTTCACTCTTCCCTTCCCAAGGCCCCAGGCAGGATGCATTGAAGTACATGCTTAAATCCATCCCAGTTCAGGAAAGCACTTAACCTCAAGCGCAAGTCTAAAGCTAAGTACACGCTGGAGTACTGTGCTGAAATGGGGCATGAGAATCTCCTCTCCTCCCGCCTGGCCAGCCTCTGACTGGAGCTGTATGTCTTTCTGCTGTTACTTTTAAAAGGTAGCTCATGTACAGGCAGACTGTTTTTGTGACAGGTTGGGTTACAGTGGTCCCCCTGAGACTGTTACCTGGTCAGCTAATCATACCACTGAGCCTGCCTACCTGCCCTCTGGGACGCCCACGACCCTGTCCTGTTGAGCCAGACTTGAGTCTCCCCCAGCCAAGGCCCAGAGTTGAGGTAACAGCCCCCAGCAGAGCAAAACAGACACTAAGAACAGCTCAGGTCCAGGAAGGCCCAGTCACTGGGACTTCATACAGCATCCTGGTGCACAGCCCCAATGGGAATTCAACCCCAAATAAATCTGTCTCGTTCTGCATAAAGTTTATGCAGCATGAGCTCAGAAGATGTTCACTCTCTTTAACAATGAAAGAGAGGCAGGCACAGCTATTGCCTACAAGCACACACACAGTAACAACCGTTTACACTGGGTTTCATGATAAACAAAAATAAAAAGTAGGATTTAAGTTGTTGCAACTGATAACAGACAGATCAAAGAAAGCTACTAATCTAAAATAAAACAAAACATACCAGCTAAGCCTAATGCACTAAGAGAAGATGTTACAAATCATAATTTCTCACCCTAGTTCTTATTTCAGATAATGTCCTTCTCAGGCTAGGGATGGCCTTTTTTTTCCCTGAACTGGGTCTAGCAGCTTCTCTCCACCCCTGTCCTTAGAGTTCCTTTGTTTCCAACGGGGATGTCAAGGGGTAGACTAGACAATTAACCAATAAGCCTAGGCTGATCAGTTAATCTAGTCACCTACTCGCATTCCTCCCCCCCCACACACTTGCTGCCTCTGTGTAAGTCACACTAACC